TTTTACTTGTTTCCCTGCTTCAACACACCTGACTCATTGACTCAATTACCTCTTCAAGTTCTGCAGAAGTCTGTTGTCCCTCCAGGACCAGGATTAGACACCTCGGGTCCAGGGTTGGGATAAAGAGTTTCATGTAGAGTTTGCTGATTCTAATTTTACTGTATTAGCTATAATCTTTTATCTTTTTGAAAATCTATTTTATATATTTTATCTATTTTCTATTTTCTTGACCAGCTGCATCACAGCCTGGTAAAACAGTGCCACCACTATGGACCGCAAACGCCTGCCGGAGGTACAGAAGTGTGACATGCAGAACTCATTTTTCCCAATTGCCATCAGACTCTTAAATAGCTGAACGTGACAATCTTCTGCTTAAGATTATTGCACATGTGCACATTTCAGACTGTTACCTGTTGCACATTACACTTACAGTTCCCTTCTTGTTGTCATTATTAAATTGTTCCCTTCTGATGTTAATATCCTTAGTTTAGTCTCTTCTTTTTATCTAATCAACATTGTTTGTGTCCTTTCGATGATGATTCGTTTCTTTTTTTAATATGGTTATCTCTCGGCACTCAAAAAATGGACGACAAAGTAAGAATTTCATTGCTCAGGGAAACATGTCTTTTATCTGTGCATATGACAATAAACACTTTGAATCTTTGAATAAGCTTGTAAATCAGACAGTAAAATAAAGTTCAACTTGGCATTTGTATTTCTGCAAAAATGCAGTGTAAACGCTTAATGCTGAAAAATTGCTGAAAAGCTAAAAATGCTGAGACTAGGATAAAATAAGTAGAAAAAGTAGCTGAAATTAGCACAAAAAAGACATAAAAACAAAGAGCACATTTACCGAATTAAGCAGTAAGAAGCTAAAATCACAAAATGGTGAATTTAGCTGAAAAAAAAAAACCAAATTAGCTAAAAAGTAGCTAAAATCAAAAACAGTTGAAACTGGCAGAAAGCAACTGAAAGAAGCATAACAAGCTAAATATAGAAGAAAAAAGCTGAAAGATGCTAAATATTGAAATTAGAAAGAGAATAACGTAAAATGGTCAGAAAAAACAAAACCTGAAATCAGCAAAACACAGGCTGAATGAAGCTGAAATTAAAGTTAAAAAAGCAGGACCAGAACAAAAAGTAAAACATACTGTAATGATTTAAGAACATTTAAATGATTTTAAGGATGTTGAAGGCAGACCCATTCATTTTTAATGAGAAGAAAAAAAAAGGTAGAGAAAGCTAAATATCTCAAAAAGCATAAATTACTGAAGTACCAAAAGTCATTCCTGTAATGCCCGGAAGGAGATGAAAGTTTTGATATTGTTGAAATAGCACAAAAACTGCAGAACGTACGGAAGAAAAAAAAAAGATCTCATAAGGGTGAATGTTGATAAGCATTCACACATTTAGGTGTGCAGGCTTCCATAAATAGAGAAGCAATTCTTGAGAATCACTTACAAGAGGGAAACTAAAGAAAACTAAACACAAAACCTCAAAGACACCAGAGGTAGATAAGACAACAATCATCCCTTCAGCTTAAATATATCTAAACTCTTTTGACTAGTTCAGCATTTCTTTGCTGACTTCCCCGAAATCTGTTGTTATTGGGTGTACAGACTTATACAAAAAAAAAAAGAAACAAAGAAAACACAAAAAAACGACAACATGTAGACCAGAAAGAAAACTTTCTCAGTCATAATTTCCTCTCACAGCCTCTGCATTTCTTCAAAATGGTGAGTAATGAAACCTACACAACCCATTAATGATTTGATTTATCATAAGAAATCTCACTTGCCTTTTTCAATTCATGAACCTCATCCTTTAAAGCATAAACAGCATCGACCAGGCTCCTGAAAATTAAAAACAGCACTTAATAGAATGGAAAAACAAAAACAAAAAAACATTTAATGATATAGAAGTTTTACATCTCGTGCAAGGTAAATACTGGGATTGTACAGAAAGTTTTTCAGGTGATTCTGTCTCAAGAGCTTAWACAGGATCAATATTAAAAATATGAATATAATTACAATATTGCGAGATTAACATCTTCCCAGTAAAGAACGTATTCTTTGAAGTAACCACATCCTTACTTTTCCTCAATAACCGTCTGTCCGTTGCTTTTAATCTCCTCCACGATGATCTTCTCCTCTTCAGGCAGGAGCATCTGGGGGATGCTCTCTTTCCGCACTGCTGCAGATGTGCAAACAAATCAAACCAAAGAGTTTTGTTTGGGACTAGACCAGCTGTTGAAAAGGCAAGATAAAAAAAGAACTACAACAAAAAGGCATCCCTGGTGTTTTAATATGTTCTACAAACCAACCTGTGGTGTTCTGGTGTGTGCTGGCTCCTGTGCAGTACGCCTCAATCACCCGAAGTATCTGAGCATCCTCCTCCAGAGCAGCGGTGCCTGGCAGAAATCAGATTTTACCATTAAAAAAAAAAACGATATGTAGAACGTGTCATTGCGGCACGAGCAATTCTATTCTTGGGGAAGTAAAACCTTCTGATAAAAAGTTAAAGTTCATACTTTTCCTGATCTGAATCTCGTCATCAGAGGCTTTGCGCTCTTTTTTCCTGTTGCCGGGCAGGAACTTCTTCATGGGCCGTGGGCTCTTACTGGAGTCCTGGAGGAGCGCAACGATTCAATTAAAAAACACACCTCTGCAAACGCAAAAGTTTTCGCTGAAAGCGGAGGCTCCAGTCCAAACAGAATGCAAGCTCACAGGGATGTGAATCCCGAACGTACACGCATCAGAGAACAAAAGAACCGTCAACGAACAAGGCAGTAAGCATGTGATGGTGGCTGGAATGTAACCGGTCTGACAGGGAGTTACAAACAGAATTAATATATATTTATATACAGTATTATGTTATAAATCACTCTGTGGCTGTCTTTACTCCAGCTAATTTCCATGTTTGTACATTTGTACATGCAGTTAGTTCTGTTATTATTACAGTTAGTGTTTTTTCACTCATAAAAATAAAAAAAAAACATCTGGACCTGTCTTTCTGTGATCGTTTACATCTCTTTCCTGCTTTCCTGACCCCCAGCCCGTCAAGGCAGATGGTCACTAATTGAGCCCAATTCTGCTAGGTTTATTCCTTTTCAAAGAAACGATTTATTCCAACTGTTGCCAAGGAGTACTGAATGTGAATGTTTTATATCGTAATAAATTTACTATGATTGAATTTGGAGTAGAGTTGCACAATATATTGCAAATTTATCATAATTGTGATAACAGCCTGTGCAATAGGCATATCACAAAAAGACTGTGTAAACTGCCATAAATGACGGGCATCAACCAGATTAAATCACAACCACTTGGTCAGTGGGAGAAAATGTTGGACAACTGCAATGAGACAATTTGCAGTTGGATTATGTTAACTTTTATTTAAAATTATTTACCCTATTTTCAAACGTTTTTCTTATTTATTTTAAAAAACTGATAGTAAGGGTCATTTTTTAGTATTTTGAGTATCAGAAAATGCTTTACGAAGGCGATGTTTTAAAATGATTAAGAAACTGTCCTGCATGCAGTTTATTGTTTCATTGCTAATAAAGCTACTGTGTTTAGTTGCACTTATTTTAATAATGGAAAAAATGTATTAGATGTTTTTTTGGCACTTGTGAATTGGCGTGTAATAATTAAATTTAATTGAATCTTTTTTACTTGACAACAGGCCAAGGCTGTTGACTTAATGAAAAAATTAATCTCTAATCTGAGGTTTTGATCTCAAACAAAAGATTTGTGGTTTCATGAAGTGTTTTTTTACATTCATAGAGAATTTCCTCTGCAGAACACAAAAAGCTGAGGTGTGATGACTAACATTCACTAAGAGCAACTGTAGAGTCGATGTGTGAAGTGATACCATCCAGTTGTCATCTTGATTACTGGTACTTTAAATCATTTTTCCAGTATAAATAGTTGGAACTGAGAGGTACAACCTAACAATGGGAAAATTGTATCAGTCTGTCATGGGGAAACAACCAATCTGCTTCCCATTTTCTAGAAGAACTGAAGGGGATTTTAGATTCCCATAAATGCTCAGATTGGTTCCAAGCTCAGTTGGTGTAGTAGAGTTGAATCATTTCAGCTGAATGTTGAAACTTTACTGTTAGGATTGGTTGTGCCTTAAGCTAGACCCGTTTAAAACACATTGGCAGTGACTTTACACCAATTTATGTGCCTTTTTCCCCTCTGACATGGAGATAGAAGGAGCTTGTGAGTATGTTTTTAAGAATATATGTTTGTCCTAAAGAGTTACCCATCAGMTAACTATGACAAGTGTGGAGTGTACGAAGCATGAATGACTTGGATCACTTATGGCAACAAACCAAAACAGAAAAACAATTTCCAGCCTGTTTCCCCCCCTTTATTCTATGATGTCAACATACATTTATTMAACTGTGCCAACAAATCCACTGTTGTGGGACGAACTCGACTGAGCTCCATATCTAGCGTTTGAAAGTGGAATCTCTTTCCTATTACTGCGTCAGAAGTGGATTTTAAAAGATKAAAAGTACAAGGTGACTGAAACCTTTCAGGGAATTTAGCTGGGGTGGGGTGAGAGACTCGCAGGGCTACAGAAAACAGGAAACCAACGAGATGACAACGAGAGAAGAAATGAAGCAAAAAGAGCAACATGTCAGCTCTGAACACACAAATACTCACGTACAGGCAACCCCAACCCACATCTTTACCCACAAACACGCACAGAAAAGAGTTTAATCTAACCTTACCTTCATGATATAAGACATCCTCTACAAGAAGGCAGAGTGGAAGAAAAAAAAGAGAAAAAAAGGGGAAAATGTGTGTGAAAAATTACAATGAGAGAAGGGTGTGATAGAGTTACAAGTGAACATTCCAACTTTCTCCATTTATGCTGAAAAGGGAGGATATTCAGAACACAGTTAAATCTGTAGAGTGCAAATATAGAAACAAAAATATATAAACCAATCGAAGTAATTTTAACTTTATATTTAAATCATTATTAAATTAGGAAACAATATTTTTTATGCTTGTCATGAATCTGATCATAGCAACTGTTTGACATTATACAAAAATTTTGGAAATAAGGAAATAGACTGCTGCAGTTGTTACAGTATTTTTTTCCTTAATTCATATAAGACAAGTATTTAAACATATGATGTTTAAATACATTTACAGTTATTCACTTACAACTAGAGGTTGCTTCATATTTCTCCTTTTTTCCCCAAAATCCTTAAAACCTTTACATTTTCCTTCAAGTTTTTTTTTTCGCATTTGAACTTATATATAAAGCATTTCAGAAAACAATAAAAAGGTCAATAGAAAAAAGTGACATTAATTTACTTTCAGTACCTCGTTGTGCGGTAMCTATGTGTAATAACTGAAAGGGATGAAAAGTGCAGACATGTCAGCACTTCTCCCGCCCCCACATGGACCACACAGAGAGGGAGCATGAGCTCAACAACAACAATAAGTAGTTCATAACCACCCGTGAACTCATTGCTCTGAAATGCCAGTCACACGCATTGACCATGCAGACGTTAGTGGAATATCTACTTCCACAGAACAGCAACACCTTCTGCCATCAGACAACACAACTCACACCTGTTCCTTTAAATGACGTGCTGATGCTTGTTGCGACACTAATGGTAGAATATTGGATTTAAAAGAGAAGAAACAACTTATATTAGGTAGTTTTGTGAAAAGTTGTTTTTTTATGCAAATTTACTCCAAAATCTGTCTGCATTAAATCAAAATTAAGTCGAGCAAGTATGAGCCTTATGTCCTCGTTATTCTTGCCACAAAACAATTACAAGAATTAGGTCCGGAAACTCCACCTTTAACTGAACTTGTGCAATCTTATGTTCAGTTATCTAATACTGGAAATGWGTTTTGATGGTTTTATTTTCGGGAATTTTGACAACAACAGCAGAAAAAAAAAAACCAAGACCCCCACGAGCTCTGAATAATTTTGTGATTGACTAGAGACCAAAGTGGATGTGTAGAGGAAATGGACTTCTTGCAGCGTCTGACTACCCCTGCACCACATATGACTGATTATGGGAAATCAAGTGTGGGTTTTCATTGCGCCGCTCCACGATTTCCTACCTCTTTGTAGCCCAGCGCAGCGGAGGGCTTCAGCGGCGGTGCAGGCCGCAGACAGCTGAGGGACCAAGGCTTGCTGATCTTTGGCGGTTCCAGGGGGCCTCGACCCACAGCACTGATGCCGCCCAGGTGGGGTGGATGTGAGGGGACGCCGACCGTGCTCAGCAGCTTGCCTTCTACATTCTACATAATTAAAATCAAAGAAAGCGAAATGAACGGAGCGCTGTGAGTTCAGTGGCGTCTGTCATGTCCGGGTGAGAAGTTTGAGGTTTAACACTTAAATCATAGTGTGAGGCTCACTTTTGGTACTGTTTTTACGTTTTACTGTATGAGCATTTGCATTTGTTTTTAAATGCGTGGGCGTTCTGACCTTTGAGATGGTCCCTGCAGGGCTGCCTCCTTTGGTAAACGGCTGCAGGTGTTCCAGCCATTCTTGTAACTCCTGAGGGCTGCTGCAGAACACCGTTAGGCGGTCGATCAGGCTTCCTAGAGCAAAAAAAAAAAGAAAAAAAAGAGAAAGTCCCTTTAGTGAAAACAATATACACTGACAGACAATGCTAATAAGACCCACTGATAACATCTAACGAAACCAAGACCACCATAAAATAAACTATTTAAAGGTGTGCAGATGTCATTTAAATTGTTTGTTCAGATCCATTTTCCCTTTAAATGAGCATTAAATGTCTTTGGGATTTATAAAGGTGTGCCTAAAAATGCAAAACCTGTCCTAACTTATGAAACACCAACATATTCTGGTGCTTGTGTTCTAGTGTTTTACATTTCCACAGARAGATGTCCAGACACTTCTAATTTAGGATCTGATTTTAATAGATTATCTCAGTTCCATGCCTCATTTATGTTCATATTTGTCATTTTCAAAGGAGACATTCAGTTCTGTGGCTAGTTGGAACACTTTATCCCCCCTAATAAACCAGTAAATACAGAAATATATTGAATAAACTTTGTATGTACAAAAAAAATAAAGCTAATGTAAAGCCTTAAAACTGTCAAAAAAAAAACATTTCATCTAAAACGTTTATTCGACCATTACATCATCTCTCACACATCTAACTTATTTCACTTTAATTTAAGAAGTGACTTTTGTCCAGTATTTCCAATGCAAACCTGTGATATCGAATGCATAGTGTGCGCTGTCTGAATCCTCTACTTGTCTTGTTAGTGTGGTGCCCGTTAGCAACACTTTTCCCTAAAATAGACAAAAATGGGGAGAAAAATAAATAAACCCACAAAAAAAAAAAAAAAACACACATACACACATTGTGAAAAAAGGACTAACATCAACACCTAAAAACTAAAATGAAAAGCTAGAGAAAAAAATAACTTGGGCATCATTAATTCTGGATGTGCTTCTTGACACAACATGGGTTCAAAACCTACAGGAATTGTAAAGTTTCTAATTTGTGTAAAAATGCCCTCTATTCATATGCAAGATAAAATATCCTACATTTTAGGTCTGTGTTTAATTTGCCCTAATTTACAATGTAAGCAGTTAAAAATGAAGACTGTCTGGAGAATATCTGTCTTAGATTAACCAATAGGCTGTCTTCTTGAGCAGTAGGAGTTTCTGTAGAAGTCTGACAGCACGAGGAAGTAAAGTCATTTAAATGAGACCAACTCTCARGTTTCGCCTCTGTGGGTGCATGATGAAAACTGCAAAGTTTGCTACTTTAACCACCCCGTCTTGTGCAACGCTCCCATTTAGAACTAGTTCTCACAGACCTGTGTGTCGAACTTTGTGTGATTGGTCAAACCTTGGTGGGCGTGTTTGTTTATGTGGCTGCAGTGAGCTGAGCTGAGAGCAGCATCTGCAGAGGAGCCAACATTACAACTGTTCAAGATCAATAAAGTCAAACCGGGTGGGATTACGTCTCCACCAGGCAGGTGTGGCGGTCTCTTCCTAACAATTTACAAAAGTGGGGTTTGTCCTCAGTTAGCAACACATTATCTGGGCCTGTGTTTATCAAACTTCTTAACGTGGAATTTTATACCTAAGTTATGAGAATTTCTTAAATTTGCTCCTACCTTCAGACGTAAGTGTAAATGCCAGTTATCAAAATTCTTAAGTCTAAGAATCACTCTTACTCTACCAGACATTTAAGACAGATCCASAGGTCCCTTAAGTGGTTAAGTGTTGCCACTAGGGGTCTGAGGTGGACTGAGATAACGGCACTGTCCTCCTCAAGAATACTCTGCACCACCTCAGTATTTGCACTAAGTGGTCTGGGCTTCGCCCACCTGAGTGTCATTCTCAGTTATAATGTACAGAGTAACTAAAATAGCTGTGGAAAACAGGTTGAGTCATAATGGTATAAATAAGGGTATAAAAAGACAACTAATAGTGTGCATAATGTTGGACTAAAAGGTGGTTATTTCTGTGTGGCTTTTGGAGAGAAACAGCTGGTGAGTGAATGCAGATGACCCCCACCGCATTAAGGTGAGACTGAACTTTCCTTTTATTATATTTTCTTGCTTTAACTCAAACTTCCATAAATTTCACTTAAAACATCCAAAGCACTTTGATGGAGCGCACGTGGGTGTGTGTCTCTTTCAGACAAAGCAGATAACGATGGAGCGGTGTGTGTGTGTG